AGAGCACTCATATTTTGTGTCTAGTTGCGGAATTGTGTGCGTGTTTGCACTATTGGCGAAGCATTGGAGAACGGGAACATATTATATATTATACGTAGGTACATGTGCAAACTTTCTCTCTAGCTCAGGTGAATAGCGAGCGCGCGCATCTCGAGAAATAGGTATATATTTTGGGTACGTATACCGTTCAAGGCCAAGTCGAAAGAGAGAGAAAAAAAGAGGAGGCGAGGAGTACAACGTAAGAACAAGAGGATGATCCTTTCTTTGCTATGTACATATTAGATGGTAACCATTGGTTTTTTTCCTCGAAAAACTTTAACAAGTTACGAAGATCTAAGCGCAGAGGCGATGAGGAACAAACAAAAACAATGGACTGGTGTCGTATGTAAGGATGAAACAAAGTAATGAATAGGTAATGAATCTGTTGAATAAAGTTTTCCAAGTTATTTTTTTACACTCGGAGCTTTCAAGCAATATTTGAGTCTTGGCAATTATTTTCTAGCACGGGTATGTGTTGCACTAGTGTCGACTAATTTGCGAGATTTACATCATATGTAATACTAACAGGTGAGTGGGAGTGCGAGATTGTGCAACGTTCAGCGGACGAATCTAATAGGTACACATCACATAGTTTTACACTATTTTTTTTTATTCAAGTGCCATTATAATCGACCTTATTGGCCATATATATTACTGTACGTGGTCTGCCTCACCGTCGTTACATCTACATAAAAAGTATACGTGCACTGATGTAACGACAACACGAGCCAAACCTTTGAACTACCGTATTAATCGCAGCAGTGATTGTTAGGTAAGTAAGTAGAGGAGGCAACAACCTCCCCCACAGCTGATGTACGAGTTGGACTCACCTCTCCGTTGTTGTTTACATGTCGCAATAACGAGCACGCGGTACTTGTATATGTATCGATACGTCAGACCATATGATAGAGACAACAAATGTCAATTCACAAATATATTTTTAAATAAGTACTACTTCATTTACATTTGAGAGGTCTAGGTTGAGGCTGGTTACTATATAGATCGCATAGTTGGGTGTACACGTAATATACTTTGCGCGTGGGAGATGCAGGGACGACGTTACATGGTACAGTAATAAAAACAATACGTATAAGATGTGCAATCGCTGCTCTCAATTAAACGAATCAAGAAACAAGATGCCGTTGTTTCTTTTGGTGAGTAATGCATGTGGTCCACGATACCCATCTATCTCCGTTTTATGAGAATCATAAACGTCGTCGCTTCGTTCGGAGCAAGTGCATTATTATAACGTGTACGGGTATATACATATATGTAGGATATAACGGGTCAAAAGACACGTTAAAAGTCAGACGGCGACTGGGAGAGAAAAAGAGAGCCTGGGAAAGGACGACACACATTTTAAGTACACTAGAGATTTTCTCATTGACATTCCGTCGTTCGCAGGTTATATACAATTGTGTGTTGATAAACAAGTCCTGGAGATGGGGTCTCATTCTCGTAAAACATATGTGCCATCATTGAACGAATAAACAAAGAAAAAAGGTGGGAACAAAAGGATAGCAAGTACTAAAAGAGAAAGGAGACATGCGTGCAATGATCCCACACTTATTACTCAATATAATATATGCAGAGACAAACTATTTATATACAAGTGTATATTATGCACAATGCAATAACTGTACTCACGTGTCGCTCCGAAATGATTTAAGTGCAATGAACTATTCGTTCACGGCTCCACGTCCTAGTCGTCCTGACGGACGTCGACTCACGTCCTCTCTATTCCTTATTATTCACACGGACACGAGGCTCTCGCAATGCATCCTAGCTATTTTGCTCCTCTTCGCGCGGAAGAGCAGAAATAGCGTAAATGGGGTTATATCGTGTATTCACGCAAAGACAATAAAAAACACTCAACTGGTAGTTAGTAAAGGATCGAGGATGAGCTTTCGTCTCAATTATTTACGAATAAACACTTGATAATTTAGAGAGAGGGCCCATCAGGGGGTGTGCCCCTGTAACGACAACGATGACGCTTGAAGGCTGCTGCTAGACTGCCATATTGCCTGTGGCGTACTGGCTGCTGCTGCGAGATATTTTTGTTTTTTTTGGTTTCATGGACGCCCGCCGGCATCCGCAGCCCGCAGCTCGATTTAATTTACAATCAGCGCCATCTCGCGTTTCTGATATCTAACTAAAAAGTACCCCTAAAGGAGCGTTCAGACATTACGTCAATAGCAATCTGCAATCCATTTGAAATTGCGAGTGCGAGAGAGAGAGGGCGAGTGATCCTTCATCTCTCTCGCACCCATGCATTCAAACGGATAAAAGCGTTTACGATTTACGACGCGTACGCAGGAATCTCCCACTCACCGTAGCATTCGAATAACAATAATAGATTATATACAAATATAGTTTCTCCAATGACACGGCCGTGCACTGCACAAAAGCGGCTTATTCGACCTCCTATATATTTATACTTTTAGAGGTAGATTTTTGGGTAAAAGATAGATAGTAAACTTGCCGCAAACAAAACAAACAAAGTTAATTTTACATTTTATGTCTACGAAATCAGTTGCGGCTGGTTTATAAATGACTAAATGGCTCTACTATAAGTTATAGTGATAATTATTTGGATCAGCGCCATCTAGCGTTGGAGGTTTTTGAACTAAAAAGTGGCCCTAAACTTTTGACCCACAGCATTAGCGCTTAGAGCCGTTTAACCAATTATAAACCAGCCGCAACTCATTATGAAGCTACAAAATAGAAAAATAATCATACATGTGTTTTTGGCGGCAAGTTAACAATCTATTTTTTACTCAAAAATTTATCTTCAAAAGTATAAACACATAGGAGGTCAATTTTTTGGTAAAAAATGTACTGTTAACTTGCCGCCAAAAACACATGTATTATTATTTTTTAATTTTATAGCTACGAAATAAGTTGCGGCTGGTTTATAATTGGCTAAATGGCTCTAAGTGCTAATGCTGCAAGTCAAAAGTTTAGGGCCACTTTTTAGTTCAAAAATCCGCAACGCTAGATGGCGCTGATCCAAATAATTATTACTATATAACTCATGGTAGAGCCATTTAGTCATTTATAAACCAGCCGCAACTGATTTCATAGACATAAAATGTAAAATTAACTTTGTTTGTTTTGTTTGCGGCAAGTTTACTATCTATCTTTTACCCAAAAATCTACCTCTAAAAGTATAAATATATAGGAGGTCGAATAAGCCGCTTTCGTGCAGAGCACAGTCATGTCGTTGGAGAAACTATATATTTTTATCTAATCCATTATTGTTATTCGAACTCTACGGTGAGCGGGAGATTCCTGTGTACGCGTCGTAAACGCTTTTATGCGAAGGAAAGCGTCACTTGTTGCGGAATTCGCTCTACGAGGCTGTAATAAATTTGAAAGGAGCAAAGAGAGGCCTTTGTGCTGGATTTTTGATTGATGTTTGTGAGAAACACTACTGCAGCGTAACATGAAGTTTGTTCGTTCGTAGAAGCAAAAAAAAAAAAAAAAAAAAAAGAGGATTGAGTGAGACTCCGTGTAATGTTTTTTATTTAGAATTCAACGACTCGTGGTTTTTTTTAATGATTGTATTTTAAACGTACACAAGTAAAAATAAAAATATTTAACTATACCAGAGGATAAAGGACAGACATAAATTTGATTTAGTGCAAGCTGTAAGGATCATGTTACTCCAGATAATAACCAAACGATTATTTGCACCGATGAACGCCAATAATGCGTGTGGGCTCGTTAATTTTCTTAAATCACGTGGATGCTTCAATTTTTTTTTTTTTCATTGTTCGTACGCTCCATTAATTTCGTTGACGAATCGCGCATTGTTTCGGCCACGCAAGTATATTTATTTTTATTTTTAGAAGCAATGACTGTTTCATCGCCACATAAAAGATGATCCGACGATTTTATTTTTAAAGCTGACGAGTTTGTCAGTGCAAAGTACAAAAATGTATCTAAACTGCAATTGTGATACAAATTTGTAGATAAAAATTGTAAATTATATGTTATGATATGTACATCTTAAAAACTGTTCGATAAAACGTAACGGTTGTAAATGACTTGAAAATTTATCTCTAATAATATGAAGAACATTAATACTAATCAATCAAATAAAAAGTGGCGTAGCCCGTTCTGTTTATGAAATAACGTTAAAAATTGAATAATACTATGATTTTGTGATAAAAAAGTATTTATTTACAAAGAAAACCAACGAACAATGACGCAATACTAGTAAAAACTAAAATAGTGACGTGCACACAACATGACCGTCATAAATGATAAAACAACTATCATCTTTTCCAATTCAAATCAAAGGCGCGTTTTTACCTACTTTTCAAAGCTCCCACCCTAGCGCTCGCGTCGCCGCCTTCTCTCAAAGTAGCAGACGACAGCTATGACGGACATTCGTAGGATTGGCTTCTGCTGCTCCGTAATTTTACACAATAAGGGGTGCATTTTGTTATTCATTTTGTCGCCGATGTAACAACAATACGCCCTCCTACGGATGGCAGCTGAGGAAATATCGCAATCATCATCCACACACTCACCGGTGCCCTCTCCTCTCCACTCTGATCCCCGTGTGTTTGGTTGGTTACCATTATCATTATTATCATTCGCACGTTTTGTTTTTTTTATTTCCTACACGCCACTGCATCGACCGCCGGGCAACAAGAGCAGGGGCAACGGCACAGAGGCACCTGCAATGGCACGAGCACGCGCGTCCACGCGAAAACCGGCTCTGCAAAAGATATATTGCGCTGCTCCGCAATGAATAGTTAATAAAATAATAGGAATTGGCCAAAGTTTGTTCCAGTAATAATATGCACACGTGATGTAAAAGTCGAGTTTTCCTGCACCAGCTGCTGATCTGTGTTTACATACTGTTACAAATTAGTTTAATAGTTACAAGTATACTGATGGTGGTGGTTAGAGAGAGAATCAGAAATTTTGCGACCACGTGCGCCGGTCTGCACCTCCTTTCCCAGATAACAGATTGTTCTCGTGCGCGTTGTGCGTAAGTTTTTCCTACGTTTATTTCGTTACAAGTTTATTCGTTTAATTATTGATTTGGTGAATTATTTTTTAGCTAAGAAAATCATATGTTTACATATTTAAAAGGATTATTTTGCGAAACCTCGTGTTGTCTGTTTTCAATTAACTGCGTGCTGTAATAATCAATAGTAGTACCGGAGGTGGGTGTGGAACTTCAACTTTACTGTCCACACAGGGGTTGAAGAAGCCATTAGATATGAAAGCCTTACAGACTGATTTTATTGGACAACAAGACTTTTTTATCCAAGGTATCGTAAAATTTGTTTTTATATCTTTTAACTAATGTACAAAATTCCAATTAAATATTTTTTTTTAATTATTTTTGTACAGTATAATTAACGGATTAGCATTTGATGGGCTATTATCAATTTTTATACATCAAAGGAGCAACAGTTACAATAGAAATGGAAAATCAAATTACACAAGATCAGGTGGTAACAGCAGACGCAAAACCACACACAGTTTCACTCATCTCAGATCATGTAAACAGCATTGAATTGCAAAAATCTTTCAATAAACACTGGCATGCCGGGATCTCAGACAAAACAGAGAATTTAGAAGTCATAGCCAAACCATTTCGTGTCTGCAGGATCTTTAATTTTTTAAACGATAATAAGTTCATTCAAGAATTAAAGGCAGAATTGAAGCAGATGAATACGTCAAAGGCTAATATGGATCTGTATCAGTTTAAACAAACGGGGGATTTTGTAAGCATGGATAGTCCGTGTGTAAAAGCATTGCGTGATACATTTTTAACGGAACTTTCACAGTGGATGCAAAACAATACCAAAATTGAATTGAGCAACAAGTTATCCATGTCCAGTTCTTGGTATCACGATTGTGATTATCTTCTCTGTCACGATGACAACAACGAGGATCGCAGAATTGCTTTTATTTTTTACTTAAGTGAAGACTGGAAGGATGAATATGGCGGTCAATTAGCTCTTTTTGATACAGATGAAAATGGCTTGCCCAGAAACGTAGTCAAAAAATTAACACCTGCATACAACTCACTAGTATTTTTCGAGGTAGTTAACAATTCTTATCATCAAGTACTGGAAGTTCTCACAAAAGATAAAAGTAGATGGAGTATCAACGGCTGGTTTCACGGACCTTTGCCTGAAACTATAAGTAGGCCAAAAAGGCCCAGTCCAAAGCTGTACTTTGAATCTCTGTGGAATCAATACACGTTCTTGGATTTTTGGTTGGACAAAAATTATCTTAGTAGAACCGTCGGACATGAGATTAACAAAGAACTCGATGAAAGCTCTGTTGCTTTGTTATCGAACTTTTTACAAACAGATCAGTACTTGGCACTGAGCGACGACGTCAGAGACGAGAATATAAAGTGGACTAGAGTAGGACCACCTGATATTCGAAATTATGAAGTGGCTGACATTGACAGTTTACCCAACGTTCTCAGGAGTTTCATTAATTTCCTCAAGTCAAAGACTTTCCTCACTTTGCTTCACTGGTACACAGAGTGCGATATATTACCAGACAATAATTCAACACCAAAGATAAACGTAGAGCTGCAGAAATGGTCAAAAGGCTCTTATTCACTTATCGATCAAAGCAGCAGTGATGACAAAGCTCCCAGTGAGTCGGATGATACCCATGAAAGTACTAGTATAGACGATTATATGGACAGTGAATACGACGTGGAGGATTTTTATGAGGATACAGAGGATGTAAATCAACCTTGCTGTAGCAATAGCAATCGAAATGCTGGTCCATCAAGATCTCGCGACAGTATTTCACGTGTAAATAATAAAGCCAGTGTCGATACTTCAGACGAGGACGAGGACGGGCCCTCTGAAGCCAAAAAACAAAAACTTGATCCTTACCTTTCAAATCGAACGTACAGTGAAAACGGAACCAGTAAACTTTCTGAACAATTAATCATAGATACTCCTAGTAGCTCTAAGCCGTCGTCTACAGAAGTCGATGAGACCATTTCTGCTTCTACCAGCAAAGAGAGCCAAAATGACATCGAAAACCATTCTGCTATTGACAAGTCTTTGAATGACGTGGATAAAAAATTCGACAATGATGAGCCTGCAAACGAGAATCACGAAGCCACGAAAAAAGTTACTGACGAAGAAGATGACTATACTAATCCATTGGTCAAGCGCGGTGCAACTCTCAAAGTTGAAAAGTCTGTAAAAAATTACGAGATCCTCATGTACATGATCAGAAATAAAAAGGTTGTGCTTCCGTTTAAAGATACCTTTAGAGATTTGATCGCTGATAGGGAGGAGTTCTACAAGTTTATTTTCAACTATGAATTCGAACTAGAAAAGGCCAATCAAGCCTTTGAAAATATCAGTTTGATCGAAGCTGATAGCGATGACTTGGAGATGATGGAGAGTTGCGAGAAGGTAGTGGAGAAGTTTAACAACGAAAAAGAAAAGTTTGAATCGGTTATCAATGGCATACTGGATGAATACGCAGAAATAGAAAAAGAAAGTCTCGGTCCAAAAAAGGACAAGAAATGTGGTGAGTTTGAGATTCTCATGGCGGATCCATACGAGGACATTGTTAAGAGAGAGATTGAAAATACCAAAAACACCCGAACTTGTTTAAAAGTTGACCCAAAAGATTTGCCAAAATGTTCTTTGGAAGTGATGATGCCGTTCAATCCACTGATGGGAGCCGAAAAGCAGTACGTGTACTACATCGATCCGCAAGAGAAGGATTCCAAAAAAGCCATTTTGATCAGTGTACCCATGAAACCTAACTACCTCAGTATCGTGTACAAAGAAAAGGACATCTGTCACGTACAAAAGTACATTAATCACTACGCTAGCCACGAATTTTACAATCTGGTGATTACCTATCACGAGAAAAACGCCTTCAATGCAGCTGATCAACCCGTAGATGGTGAAGATGCCGACTGCGAGAGCAATGAGGAATAAAATTTCTTTTATACGAGATCAAGATTTTTTGTCTTAAATATTGTTTAAATAATAATAATAACTGTTTGCATGTTTTACGTTCAATGTAAAAAAAAAGTAACGCATTCAACAAGTTTGTAAAGAGCAGTGAATTATTAATTGCAAAAATTTTTTAAATATTAGTGAATATTCAGGATTGTTGATTATTTGTTATATAATTTTGTAAGAAATTTAACGCTGTGTATAATTGGAAAACGACGATTTGATGTAATTTATTTAAAAGTAGCGAAAAATCGCTTTTGAATACTTATCATTAAGCTATTGTACGTAAGGTAGATTTTACTTAAATAAAAATTTTCAGTATTTGTGATTAGTAACATAAATTTGTTGTCGAGCATTTCTTTTTTAAATTAACTTTCGTAGTTTATAGACGTAACACTTTAGTATTTTTAACTTACAAAGTTTCGTCAAATGAAAAAAAATATACAATTGATTTTAAAAATGTACGATGTGTTTGACGAGAAAGAAAGAGCCAATAAACAGGTACAAAAACAATTTCTATCTAATCTCTGGAACAAATGAAAAGTCACACGCGCTCATACAAATATTAAAATTCAATAATAAGCCCATCGAATGGAAAACCGATATTGGTGTTTATATAGTTGGACGCGATCCAACATCGAATACCTACTCGTAGCGTTTATTAACTAGAAACGCTGTCCTACTTTACATTGTTGAAAGTAGAGGCGTCCACGCGATTTTTTATGTAAACAAATGGACACGTTTTCTGCGGGAAAAATAAGGTAATCCCGTGACGCGCGTAAACCGGTTAGCTCACGCTAGAAATACAGGTGACCTGAATTAACTTATGGTGTATATCTTTTTTTATTTTAAGAGCAACTCTTAGTCCATAAATAATATTTAAAAGGAAAATAATAATCATTTGTAGGTCGAATGAAAGCTCGATCGTCCTTGGCGCACATTCAGCGACAAAAGAAAAAATTCGGCTCAAAAAAATCGTAGTGCACAGTATGGTGTAAGAAATGTCGCAGTGTACCAGAAGTTGACCCAAGCTCACCTTCTCTGTACAGATGTTTTACACACGTGAACATCCGGTACGATGCAGCATCGATTCAGACCCTGCACGAAAGGAGGCAAGGAAAAAAAAAAAAAAAAAAAAATGCGTGCACGCTTGGATAGCAAAGCCGGAAGAGCTTGCGCACGCACGTTGTCGTTTTCATTGATCAGCCGACAAAAGCCCCCGAAGCTGCCAGCGTAATAAGTATATATTACGTTTTATGAATGGAGGACGAGGGTCACGAGGGGCCGATCGTCGACCATTTGCCGCATTTTTGCCGATACAATAAATTAATACATACATGCATGTGCTGCTATTAAAACTATAGATTTATCTAACTGGTTTCATACATGGTATTTATAATGTTCGGAGAGACATCATCATTAATATTTTTGCAAAATATGCAACGGCCGAATTCATAAGCAATAATTGTATCCATCAACATTTGAAACATTGTTCTTTCGTTCTACACGTACGTTGTCTAACTTTCGTAAGGTTTTATCTACTTATTTCAAATATTTTAACTAATCGTTGTATTGTATACTTTTAAGTTATAATTCCGAGTTTTTTTTTTTAAATACATTCTTCTTCTTTTTTTTTTTTTTTTTCGATACTATGTTCCATGCATCTCATGGGTTCCTGTTTAGACTGACTTTATCGGACGATCAAATGTATTATTCTCACGTAAGTAGTATTATTGTTTTAAAATTTGTATTTTTGCGAAATTCATTGCATGCTGATTTCGTATATTTACAACGCTTGTTAGTATTTTTGTGTATTTACAAGTTTTCTACGGAAATTACGAATGCAATTTAAAAATAACTTGGAAAAATCTACTAAAAACTAATTGGGTTACTCTAAGCTACGACATTTGGATTAGTAAAAAAACAATGTTGTATATTATATGCAAATATAGGTAGGCACTTTATTTCTTGTTAGTCTTATAGCTTCATACGCAATCTATAAATAATAAAGAGGGTGTCACGAGAAAAAAAAAATACTGGTAGCAGGTACATGTACACGGAAAATGTTTATACACGTGCACGTAAAATTACGTGGTAGCAAAAACATGAAAACGAAAAAAAAAAGCCTTTACGTATGTGTACATGTATATATTATAATATACTCTGTGTAAAGGTAAAATTTATTGATTTTGGCTTACGCTCGCAGGTTTGGATTCAAATCCCGTATCTGTACATTTGGCGGCGAACAAGCGCGTAGACTTTTCTTATCTTTCGTTACCATCCTTGCGTCGCTCGCTGCTTCTTTCTGCGAAAAAAAAAAATGAAAAATTATCATAATTCGTACGCGATAAGTTCAGGTACAAGTTACATGCTCTCATGGAGATTACCGTGCAATATTGCACTCTTTTTTTTGTTAAAATATATTTTAACGTGTATTAGGGGTAATGGGTACATATTATATTGTTATTTGGCCAAAAGAGAAAATAGTGACCTTCAGTTTGAGTTTGTCACAAATTGCCATTGATTTGATAGTAATGAATTCATCGGATTTGCAAAGCTGTTTTTTTTCGCTTCGCCAAAAGTAAATTTTCGACTCAGCAGAGGAGTGGAAAAATCGGCAGTGCCCAAGTAAATTTGCGTGTCAAAGGGTGTTTGCAGCAAATAATAAATATAGGACCATCTAGTCCCGCGACTGTTTTCAACTCCACGGCAGAGAATAAAAAAAGGAGGTCGTACAATATCCATGCAAATTCACGAGCTTTGACCAATACTTTGTACCCTTTCATCCGTATCCCGAAACCGAACCCTCTTTTTTTTCGGTCCACTACTCACAGCCCGATGGAAACTGTCTACCCTGGCTATATCGTGAAAGACACAAAATAATACATTATTTTGCAAAGAAAAAAAAAAAAAAAAAAAAAAAAAAAAAAAAAAAAAAAAAACAAGGGACGTGAATGTAAAATCACTCACTTTGGCCGAGTCGTTGGCTTTGATGGCCCTCTTGCGCATCTCGTTGAGCTGAAGCTCGCGCTGGAAGCTGTAGTCGTTCTCCAGTTGGGTATGTGGCTGCGATTGGCCGTCCCGAGCGTCGACGCCGTTGCTCGTGTACTCGACTTGGACCCAAGGACATATGCTCGGGGAGGAGGGGAGCGATCCTTTGCCGTTTGGTCGGGGTAAACGCGGGGACAGGCGTTTAAGGAGCGACACGATTTTCGACCTGCGGAGTTTTGCGAACGTGTGATTTTTTTAAGGGGTTTTATCGAATCATTTTTTTGTTTCTTAACTGTTTCGGATGAAAAAAAATTAAAATATAAACATTATAGTTATACTCTCACGTGATGTAAGAACTTATATTTAGGTATACTACATGTAATGATAGTTTTTGATAAAATGCCAACAATCGATCGTTTTACTATTTATATGTGTATTTATAACAGCAATGGGTGCAATTCCATGACTCCAAACACCGAAATAACATCCGTAAAATACATGTGAAAATGTATAATGTAACAAATAATTAAAAAACTGAAATAGGTAAACCAACGAGAGTGTGCCATATAATAATATACGATATGATTGTTAAGGAGACGATAAATGGCATTTGATGTATACATGAGCGAATGAACAAAAGAGAGATGTAAAAAAATGTACTTGGTGCTCGAAGTCTGAAGGGTACCACTCCTGGAGAGATGCTCGGCGCTACGCGAAGCCTTCCGGTACTCCAAATTACTCGAGTTTATTTTGTCTATGCTACGGCCAACTCGCCAGTCCAAGCTACTGCTCTGTCGACCTGCAACACGGATTATCATTAATATATCATATTGATTAATATTGTTACATTGGAACTTTGAGTTGATTCAATTTGTTGAAAAAAAAAGTAACCATGCGTGATCGAATAACTTTACGAATGATTACTGGACAAGGCCGGAGAAACAAAAAAAATAGAGATTCTCTGGAAATTATATTTATGCGCTTCATCTATACGCAAATCAAGGCGCGTGACAAATCAATGCGTACATGAGTCGGGTAAACAGGTAGGAGGAGAGGAAAAAAAAAAAAAAAAAAAAAATGCAGTGGTCTACCTTGATCGTGGCCGTGTTTCCACTCGAAGAAGCTGTGCGTCTTGTTCACGCTGTATATGTTATCACAGGATTTCGTCGCAAGGCTCGTCGCGTGGTGGCGACGTCTAAGCAGTCTCGACACTGGTCCCAAGTTTCTATGGATAACAATATATGCCATGGATATTTACCCTCGAGTGATGATTAAATTGAGGATTTTGTGCCTTTTACAGTGAAATTGCACACGTGGACTCTCGATTATCTTCCCCAAAGACCCGAATGCCTTAATTAACACTTGTTTGGAGCACAAACAAGTTTGCACATGATATTTTTGCTTCTGTGCGTAACGTTAAACAATGTATGGTCTAAAATGTAGTTGCACGCGCATCTCTTTGTTCGACCATCCACTGTCGTCACCTTTTTCCCAAAAAAAGCACAAAACCCCTTATTATTATGATTGGCACTGGCAATGAAAGTGTAAGTACTTTTTGTATTTGCGCGCCTGAAGCTCGACGGGCGGTTTGGACTCGGTCCTCCTCGTGGCGCCGGTTTCAGGCTTGGCAATCGGCCGTTGGGGCTCGGGGCAGTAGGTGCCGACGCGCACGTGGCTGTACGCCGCCCTCAGCTGTACACCGTCGAGGGGCCGGAAACCGGCGCGCTCCGTCGACGGCACCCGCACTATCTCGATCCTCGGGCGCGCGCACTCGGACACCCGCACCAACGGCTCCATCATCGTGTCGTCGCCCCTCCTCCTCCTCCTCCTCGATATTTTTTTAACGCTCGCCCCCGTGATTCCTCCGGTGACCGCGGATGGCTTTATCGTGCCGTTTTTTTTTTTTTTAATCAAAGAGATGGAGCTTTGTGCTTGCGCCTCCTCATGGTGCTCCCCGTTGGTTCGCCAATATATTCCTCCACCGCAGTTTTAGGCGTAGATCCGGACTGTTAATCCCGAGATGAGCCCCGGAATGCCGCGCGGGATAATGCCCGTCCTCGGTGTTGATTCATTTCTCGAGTGGCTGCAACACGCATATTTATATGTATGTATACCACCTATACGAGCCATTTTATACGCACACGCCGGAGTGAGCTTGTAATCGAGCTTAATTGCCCGCTTCGGCTTCCTCTTTCTCTCGCTCGCTCGCTTTTAATGAGGATATTTATGCCCTTGGGTCCGCGAGGGAGGGGTTTTATTGTGCTGGTATTGGCAAGCTCGGGTGAAAGACTGGCCCATCTACTCTTTTGGGACGTGCAGGTTGACAAACGTATGCGAATTTTCGACCATCGGTGTTTAATAACAAGTGCATTTGGACACGGTGAATGGGAGAAATTTTTTTTTTTTTCTTTTTCTTTAGCAATAGGAACGTGTGTGGAAATAGGTGGGCTGTTTTTTATGTTTACATGTGATTATTCACACCACGAGCTAGTTAATTTTTTTATTAAATTTGTCTATTTAACCAGTGATGTGTACAAATAGATTCGGGTCCGATAATTCATGGGGTTTTTTTTTATCAAAGGTTTTATTTTTTCGTATAAAAAACATTTGTAAATTAGGGTGAGCTCTAAGAGATGTATGAAGCGAGTGAACGAATTGTCCCAAAAAGTTGTATTACTTGGTCATTGAAAAAAAAACCACAGTTGTGAGAGAGATTTCAAAGATCTTTATAATGTTTTGTAAGCCAATTTTCTTAAATAATACAAGATTCAAAAAATTTGTTTGTTTGTTGATTCTTTTATTGGAATTACCCATTGTACAAAAAGGAAGTTTGTTTATTTTATGTTCATCGTTTTCAATTTCACTGACTATTTTTTCATTGAAATGTAACTGCAAAAGATTTTTTAATTATCACATTTTAAAATTTGTCTTTCCAAGATCTCAGAAAGCTTTTAGTTCTTTTTTTTCACGTGGGATTGAATAAAAAAAAAAGTTCTTCTCCTCAACGTTACATATCATCGACACACCTAATGCTAAACAGCTACGATACAAGCAACTAATCTCGCAACGCCTGCCATGCACTCATCGTGAATCCCTCGTGAGGAGGCGATAATTGATTAACCATCCATTGTCAATTCCCATTCGATATTCAATGTGTATGCGTCTCTCTAACATGGACATTAGGCGCTGGTTAAATACAAAGTCATTTGTATGTGGATTTTTCACAGACAGCAACATACAAGATTTTGCTTTTTATTTGGCATTTATCAATAAAATAACCTTCATTGGGCACGTCCACGCGGTATAACTAACAGCACAGTTAATGGGCAGATGATTCAACAAAAAATACATTGATCACGTCAAAGTGGGTCAAGGGCCTCGTTCTACAAATTCATTGTGACAATTGATAAAAGCAGGCGTACCTTTTGTACTTAAAAACACATGTTGCAAAAATACATTATAGGCTTCTTTTTTTATAGATAAACGAGAGTACCTTGCCTTCGTTACAAATTAGGGAAAAAACAATGTGAATCGTACAAAAACTAGTGGTGAATGAGTTAACCGAGGATATTGATTATTCGATTACCGTACGTCACGCAAACAATTTTCGATCTATACGTGTACGTATATAATATATATATATTTACGTGCCGATAAGCTACCTAAATTTAAAGGCAAGTAGGCCGTAACGGATGTAATACATCAGTCAATTGTATACCTACGTACGCACATGTATACATCCATAAAATTTTAATGAAAAAAAAAAAAAAAAAAAAAAAAAAAAAATACATATTTTGGATCAAAATTTTTAAGATACCTATATACAGTTGAGAGGCGATTTTTCCAGCTATAAAACTGCAGAAAAATCATTAGTAGGATCGTAGGAAAAACGCTCCGTGAGAAATAAAGGAGTAATTGTAGTCGTTGAGCTATCATTTGGCGATGAATGTCGCGGAAAAGATGACGAAGGAAGGAACGATGGTGTGTAGGTCATGGCGTATGGATTATTTATGTAATGGTCCTCGGCATCCGGGGATGCGAAAAGCGCGATAAAAAAAAAAATAAATAAAAAGACCATGTTCCGCACAGAAGAAGGGAAGTAGGAAGCGATGGGGCTCTTCTTTTTTTTTCCTCGGGAGGTCATTATGAATTGAGCGGTTGATATGGGTGGTGTCGGCGGCCCCGAGAACGGCTGTGTATAGTCACAGAGGCGGAAGAGAAAAGAAGATGAGCTTGCGAGCGGTGTGTTTATTTATGGTTGTGATGGAGTGCAAAGTATGTAGGTGTACTCGAGAGTAACGCCCGTCTGGACTTTTTTTCCCTTTTCTTTTTTTACTCGCGTTGGAGTGCTTATTAGAGATGCTCCGGATTAAGATTATTATTTCAAGTATCATCTTTTTCTTTTTAGAGCAAATGATGGACATGAAAAATGTTTTTTTTTTTTTTTTCGCCTTCATTTCATGGCGATAAATTGAGGAAGAAAATTGTTTCGAAAACAGTTGAATGAGAAATTATTTTTCGTCATCATTAAGAGAAATTATTTGAATCCTCATACCTAACTCTGAGAAATTTAATTTAAAAAAAAAAATGTTTTTTTTTCATGCAAGCAGAATATAAGAAAGTAGACCATTCAAGCAAGACGAGGATCAATTAATCAATTTGGACATTTTTCTTTTCAAGTGTATTATCGATTTGATGAAAATCACAAATTCAAATCAGTTGTATTACTTATTCGTTGAAAATTAACTTTATTTATTTAACTCAATCGTGAAACCAAAGCACGAATATTTAGAAACCGGTTCTCACGTGACAGTGAAGCACTTGGCGTATCAGTCGAAAGAAAAAAAAAAAAAAATTTCCTTTGAAATAGAAAACGATTTAAACGGTTTAATTAAGTGTAGAAAGCTTTGATTTCACTCAAATTATGAATTTTCTTACGATGAATGTAGATCGTTTCGTGAATAATATTTCTGGATGAAAGAGCACGAGATGTATTGACAAGAAGAAAGTGAATGTTTTTTTTTTTTTTGAAATGCACAAAAATTTACCGCTATTGTGTTTTCACGTTTCCTTCAGTAGATACAGTCCGTGACAGGTAGGGCACACTTTGTGGTTGTTTCTCAATTTACCGCAATGCTTCAACCACTTGTACCCAATGGTCGAACGCATTTACACTTGAACTACTTTCCATCATACTTATATAAAAAAAAAAAAAAAAAGCATTTGGACACGGTGAATGGGAGAAATTTTTTTTTTTTTCTTTTTCTTTAGCAATAGGAACGTGTGTGGAAATAGGTGGGCTGTTTTTTATGTTTACATGTGATTATTCACACCACGAGCTAGTTAATTTTTTTATTAAATNATATATATATATATATATGTGATTCTGCCGTAACTTGTTCAGATTATGTCCGGTACTCGCACTTGCATGCCATTATAAAATCCAAGACTTTAAAAACGTTAAATTGTGTTAAATATTGTCAATTTTACTTGACATATTATCTTATACCGATATATTAATTTCTTTAATGAGATAATTAACCATTTAGAGTTGAATTTTCCATTCCGACCCATGTCCACAACTCAATTTCACTCATAAAAACTTTGAACGGTAAAAAAGAAGACTTATCTGCAACTTATGTGTGTAAGCATTATTCACTTGAGCTATTGGGGATAGGATTTGTACCTTAGCCCTACCAAAAATTGACGAAGACAAACGAGTTTTTTTTCATTGCATACATTTTGTCCGCATATTTACACTATGCTAACCGTTTTAACAAAAATTAGTTTAAGCTAGTAACTTTTTTTATTGGAAATGCTAGCCAATAATTATTTTTCAAAGTATAGGACTAAAATTAACAAATCCTCATGACAGTAGTACCAGAAGTTGTTGCGTCTCGAATAGCTAAGCTCTTCTATTTGCGTATTTCGTGCGTACAAACATTTTATTAAATTCCGTCTCCCCATGGAACAACCACTCGGTGTACGTGTGTAAGTACATTAACTACAATTTTTTTATTGCATTTGAGGCTAGTAAATAAAGTATGGGTGAACAAGTCATTGTAATACAACTATGAGTCGTACAAGCACTACCAACATTGAAAATTTCATTCCGAACTTCTCCATTCCGACCCAACCTCACCTCAAATAGCCATTTTTTTTTATTTTAAAGCAATCAATACCAGCTAAACTTTTTTTCATCACTGTTAGGGTAAAAGACAAGACACGTGTCTTGAGTTTTCGTCCAATTGGCCTCTTTTTGCTACATAAATGCAAAAATGGTGGTGCTACTTTCAACGTCGGTAGCCAAGTGGTGCACTCCATTAGTTGGCTTTATCTAGGCTTAAATAAAAACAAAAACAGAGTCGTAATTATTAAAACACAAATATTTAAATTTAATGCCCCAAATGAAAAATTACAGTGATTTTATAAAAAATACTGAATTTTAGCCAAAATCACATTACTAGCAATATTTACGCTCTTATTGAAACAGCTGTAACTTTTGAATATAGGCACAAAATCAAACAAAATTTTTTTTTAATTGATAGGTCTTGACCCCAGCTTTCATTTAAGCTTAGAAAAATTACTTAACTGTTTAGCTACATGTGTAAGAAAGAGATACAATTATTAAAAAATCTATGAAAACTAACTTTTAGAAAATTTCGTACAGCTTTTGACTAGTTAATCTTGTAGTTGCATCCCTTGAAATATTCGTTACTAATGTTATATACAGTAGAAATACTATAAAAAAATCTTTTTTTAACCAACTTTTTGTTTAAACCATTTTTTTAAGTCGATCTGAGCAAGTAACGACAGAATTACCAATATAACTATAGAAATTATGGCTATATTAGAATGTATGTTTCGAAGTTAACACCAAACCGATGCACTTGCTGAAGCTAAGGTATAGGTATGGAGAAAAAAGAAAAGAAGACAGAAACAACTGCTGTACCTACACTAGAGGCAAAGTATACGTACGTACTTCGTATACACGTATACGTGTTGCACGTCCCAGTAATTACATACATGTTTCTACGAAAACATGTGTGTAAAAAACGTGGATAAAGTATTAAATATGTATAATACTACAATCATACCTCGTAAAACAAGAAAATAGCTATATTTACATTCTTTTCCTTAATCTCGACCAGATAGAGTGGATTATATGACTTTTATGGTATCCCAAATTGAAAAAAAAATTTTATTTGTTGAATACAATGATTTAAACAAAAATTAATGTCCATATATGATGTCATTTTACATGCATTAATAGTAATTTTCAATGAAAGAAAGTTTTGTCCCACGTAACTGGAAAAAAATACTTTTTTCGGAGCGTTCTGGGAAAAGTTTTTGTTTTGTTCTGCATTACATAACCAAAAATTCGTACATATATTAATACATAAATAATATCAAACATAAAAGTACTTAGAATTTGCGAATCACATGTAACATAAATATATGTATTTTATGCACATGCCTGCTCAAATACGCAATAATACAATTTTTACTATTTCAATATTGGATTCTTAAAGACCTATTAAAATTAGGTGTGATCTAATTTTCTCAGTTTCAGTTATACCAATAATGTTTGAGTTAGAAGTTTCACTTCTGCCTGGGGTCCCGAGATCCACACCTGGTTTTTTTCTTGTATCATAGAAGCTTCGTCCCAAAGTATGACATCAACTTTACGTTTTTTTTTTTAAACAAATTTTAATGCTAAAAGAGCACTTTCAATCTAATGGTCATATAGAATGGCTTGTCATTCTTTCTGATAATAACATTGAAGGTATACCTGTCCAAGCAACAGATAAAATTTCTGTATTTTTTAAATCGTTAGCTACTTTTAAATGGTATGGTTGTACATACTTTTTTTTTTTTTTTTTTCATAGAAAATGTTAATGACGCCCATGTTTATCGTGTAACGTAAACAACCCTTTACAATAAACAATGATAGTAGTAACAAAATTTGCCAAAATAAATATACTATATCCACAACTGTAATGAAAAAGTGTAGATTTCATGGCAGTGAACTATTTAATTACATGGAGAAATCTGTCTACATGTACACAATTCAAATTACATGGAAAATGGGCGCAGGTGAACCAAACTTATATTTTTTAGAAATCAAATTTTCCAGACACTCTTTTTCTACGAAAGAAACTTATTTCCTCGTTCAATATTGCAATACACACATACCGGCAACCGGCACATAAAAAAAACTTTCGCGAATCCGTGAAAAAAAAAAAAATTTTTTTTGACGAAACGATCTTTGTCTCCTCGATTATTCTCGGTACATTTCTTTAATAAAGTTTTATCGTAACTTGTAGTTGTATATATTAACATTTTTTTGAATTTTATGTAAGTATCTGTATTCCGCATTGTTGTTCTCTGTCAATTATAAATTTGAATAAACAAAAAACAAAAAATTCAATAAAAATCCACACTCAACTCGCTACTGTGAAATAAAACTCATCATCATTGACGATTGCAATAAAATTTTGTTACGTACAAGTCCGCACAAAGGAATCACCAGCACATCCGTGATCCGACCCATCAACGCGAATTCGATTTACCTCTGCAAAACCGTGTCACAGCGGCGTCAACATTACATTATACACATATATAGGCTCAAATCGACCGATCTAGCTCATAAAGCCACACCCCTCACTCCTGCGCTGCTATCGCCTACTTTACCCATAAGCATGATATTCTCACCGTTTACCAATCGATCCCCCACCGAAACGAATCACGAACCACTTTGGCACACGTTTCAATCACCACTAATCGTGACGAGTAAAAAAAAAAAAAAAAAGCACACCACACCTTGCCGTACGCGATCGACACTAACAGTGGGGAAAAAAAAGTCACCACTCGACTCTTCCGAGAGTGCCCCGAGGTGCTCTTACGGCATCGTCGCGCGGTGATAAGGCGCCGATCCCTCGGTGTATGTCATAATATATACCTACACTACATACGTACTCGTTTTTTTTCTCGTAATCTCGGCGACCTTCAGCTTGACACTACTGTGCTAGAGATACGCGACAGTGATAAGTACAACTTTATACGTAGCGCGAAAGTTTTTTCTTTTTTTTTGTTTTTTTATCCTCAATGCAGGTGGGTGGGTGTCGTATACAAGTATACTCGCTCTTATTTGCCTATGCGTATACAAGTACCTGTAACGGCGCGCTCGAGCTGATTTTTTCATATGTGTAATTAATTAATAGGGTTAAAAGGTGGGACTTACTTCGTACTTCCTACGGGAACGATTTTTGCGACGACCTACTTTTTTTGTCCCACCGTTTTTCTATACTAAAAATAATACGAAGCATCGCAAAGTAGCGTGTCGTGGTTCGCTCGAACGGACGTGATCAAAGTGAAGCTTGTGTTTGATGCCTCTATGGACTTTGACGTCTTTTTTTGGAGTTTTTCGTTATATAATACATACAATTTATATTGGTGACCGGTCGTTCGAGGAATCGGTTCATTGTCGTAGGAAAATTCTTCCTGTTCCAACGCTACCGCTCAAATCGGCCTACTTTTTTTTTTTTTTTTTTTTTTTTTTTTTTTTTTGATAAATTAAATAAGCGAATCAAAAAAATGATTCTTTTAAAATCGCGGTCAAGTTTTCCCCTTATTTAACACACGTATCGCTGATGAAAAAAAAATACTAAGACAAAACAGAGTAGCCCAAAGCCTTACAAGTTTATTATAATTGTTTGGGACTGAAAGTGAGAAATTCCCCGCATTACTCTCCATTGTACGAAAACAAAGCCCATACCATCTCTTTGTCTCGAGATAACGATTTGCGTGTATTTACACGAAACCATTGAACGAGCGACTACTGTCGAATTGTATAATATGTACGTACGAGATTCTGCTGTTTGTTCTACGCCAATATAGATAGGCTTTCCCTTTTTCCTGATAATGCTTGCCCTGCACAGCTTTTATTCGATTTTCCTCTGGCTCAGTGTAGGTGGTAATTTTTTTTTTTTTTTTTCTTCTTGTTCCACGCTTTGTTTTACTTTCCCGCATGAATTACTTTTCATGGCAAGGTTTATGGAAAAAATACGTGTTAGCGAAACACGCGAGTCTTGTAAATCATTTCCGTATGAAAGGGCGCTTTTGTATTTGATTTTATCTCCAGAATGATTAAGTATACCTGAGTAATAAGTAAGAGGGAGGAGAACATACGATCAATTTTTGTTTACAAAAAAATATGTCATAGGAAGTAATGGTAAATCATCAACGTGGATTGGATAAAATTTTACTTACAAATAGATATCCATTCGACAAATGCGAATTAATAATAGTGCAAAATTTTCTTAGAGATGGATAATCAAAGAAATTTTAAGAAAATATACAAACAGATTTTTTATAAAATTATTACAATTTTATTTAACATAATTACATTAAAGTGTTTTTTTAAGTAAAAGTTCTCGATTCTTAGAAAACGAGGTGATATGAATTTTATCTCCTTATTTAACAATAAATTATTAAGCATGTAACGGTTGTAATTAAATTTGTAACACTTAAAGTTAGGGTTTTTTTACAAAAATTATCCTCATCTCCATTAAAAATTATTAATTTTGGCTGTCAACAGTCATCAGTGAAAATGAAACACATAAATCAAATATATGTCTTTCACTAGGGAACTCCAAATTTAAGAGAACAAAAAAATTATAAAAATTTCCTTAACGAGTTATAGCCAATGATGGAATAAAATATCTAGTCAATAAATATTACTCTACTTTTTAATTTTTACAAAAACATTTGTAACTTCAGACTTCATGTCCAAGCAAATACATTAGTTATTTAAAATGTAACCTTTTTTTTGTATCATTGACTATAAATTTTTACACTAAGACTAAGTTTAAAAAATTTGAAACTTTTTAAAGAATAACTAGTTATAACACACTCTGTTTTTTTTGGCATAGAAAATATCATTGACCGTTTACAAAGTTAAATTGAACGAAAATTAGACAAGTATCTGCACAAATATTGTACAATAAGAACAGGTGTCATCAAGTAATGAAAAATTATCACTGTGATATAGATGCTATGTATATAGACATCAGGTTTCGTCACGAAAAAAGCACTACTTTTTCTGAAATATAAAGTTTTTCATAATAAGTTTCTATATTATTCTCGGTACATTTCTTTAATAAAGTTTTATCGTAACTTGTAGTTGTATATATTAACATTTTTTTGAATTTTATGTAAAAAAAAGTAACCACGTATACTCAAAAACAAATTATCAAAGTCACTCCGATCTTTCGTGATCGACAAAGACACGAGCAAAGGTCGATCAGTCGTAAATGTCGATCGTTTAGTTGTAACAACTCGTGGGCTATATCCCCACGGATTTTATTGGTAACACACAACCTGTGGATCAATAATTCCACGAGTCGGGACACACTATTATTAGAACATTTTCCCCGCGCGTTAACACGTATATCCGTCCAACTGCAACCCGTGTGCACGTGTATATGTACATATGTATCCCTAACACCACACAACCTTTTCATAAAGTCATTCGTACAGATATGAGAAGTTGTAAATTGATGTTGCAATAACGTTGTACAAACATTGTAAAAATAGTCACAAGGTTGGCCGATTTTTTCACCAAAAAATCATTTTTAAATTGATTTTACGTTAATTTTCAATTCGTGCATGGCCACGATAGATCTTGACGTGTTCTATATGTTTAGAAATCTCTTTATGTTATGCAAATTAATAAAATTAAGTTTAATTGTTGATGAAAATTATCATAAATCAAGGTGCTTTCATTCAAATGATAACACCTATGTAGACGACTAATCAGAAGAAAATTAATGCCACGGTATACTTTAACAAAAATGATTTTTAATTTAAAAAAATTACCGGACATTTTCAATGATTTCATAACGTTTTCAGAATATTATTGAAATTTAGTTTTACCGCGTTGTAAAGTTGTAAAAACAGCGTTTTTTAAATAAATACAAACTTACATGTAACGTTTGTCCGAAAACAGCATCAAGACGAACGATCATTCGGTTCAAAGATACACTTGTACACGAGGCGTGTGCTGCGGAGTACAAAAATAATGTTTACTTCCGCGATTCGCGTATTACCCACTTACTTCGGTCTACATAACAATTATCACTGCGAATGAATAGCCAATTATATACACTACACTGTGTATACATATGGGTTTAATATCTGTATGGCGTGTAAGCGCATTATAACATACGCGTGTGTAACCGGCACAATTGGACGCACGAAAGTTCCGTACTACATCGCATGGACGATCGTATAGTCAGAGATGCTTTGAAAAATTAACGATAATATCTCGGTCAACGAGAAATGATGCTTTACTTACAAATATAAAAAAAAATTTGGGTAAAATAAAACTAACCGATCTGCGCATTATAAAAATAAGTATCGGTATCACGTCAGCGCGGCGGATTGAACACTGAGGTGGACTTACGCGCGCGAGCGTTCGACATGGGGACGGAGGAGCAGCGCTAAAAGAGAGAGAGAGAGAGAGAGAGACGGAGTATATATACTGAGGATATGAAAATGGGAAGGGAGTATACATATGTAGAGAGAAAATATATATAAGTGATCAAGCTTTACGTGTATATATATATATATATATATATATATGTATATATACCAGATCGTGTGTTGTGGATTGTTGTGTTGTCCTCACGCTTCGGCGGACGTCACTCCCCCGCAACTATATATAAATGTGTATACTAAGCAAACAAAATATCAGTTATTCTTACGTATAAGTGTGCGACTGTTGAGTACTGCATGTATGAGTTGTAAGTACAACATCACATGAAAAACGCACGTGAGCGTGACAGATTGTGAGTATCTTCGCTATTCGAAGGTGGAGCGGCGACTGACCGTCTCGATTGAAGCAGCTTGGCCTTTAAAAGGACCTCATGTTCTGTTACGGTATATACATTGCAATTGAGGAGGGCGCAGAAAGAGCCGGCGTGGACATTGCTGCTTTCGAGCGGAAATCGGTTTGATTCTCGATTGAAGGCGGATGCCGGGATGTTAAGCTGTGCTTTTTTTTTTTTTTTTTTTAGCACATAAGGCTGAGATGCATCGGTAAATGAGTAAGTGTATACCCAAGTCGATTTTCAGTACCGGTTTTTAGCGACAAGGGATTAGTTTTGTCTAAAGTGTTTTTAAAAATCGGTGAGGCCGATGCCGATGATTTGAGTTCTGTGTGTACTTACGCGTTAAAATATCGGTTTATAAAATAATGTGAAATTTACTTATGTAAACGATGGATGTAAACTAATGTTATTTAGAAGCGCTTTTTTAAATCGTTAGCTACTTTTAAATCGGTATGGTTGTACATACTTTTTTTTTTTTTTTTTT